CTCATCCTCCTGGTCCTGCTCCTCCTCCGCCTCCTCAACTTCCAAGTCCTCCTTCCCCTCCTCCTGCTCCTCCGCCTCCGCCTCCTCATCCGCCTCCTCCTCCTCCGCCTCCTTCTCCTCCGTTCTCCTCCTCCCTCATCCTCGTCCTCCTGCTGGTCCTACTCCTACTCCTGCTCCTCCTCATTCTCCTCTTCCTCCTCCTTGTCCTGCTGCCTCCTTCTCCTCATCCTTGTCATCCTCCTCATCCTTCTCCTCCTGCTCCTCCTCCGCCTCCTCCTCCGCCTTCCTCCTCCCGCCTCCTGCTCCTCCTCCTCCTCGTCCTCCAACTACCCCTCCTCCCCCTTCACCTTCTCCTCCTCCGCCTACTCCTCTCCTCCTCCACCTCCTCCCCCTCCTCCTCCCCAGTCCTACTTCTCCTTCTCCTCCCCCTCCTCCTCCTCCCTCCTCCTCCTCCTCCTCCTCCTCCTCTCTCCACCTCCACCTCCCCCACCTCCTCCTCCTCCTCCTCCTCCTCCCTTTCTCCTCCCCCATCCTCCTCCTCCTCCTCCTTCTCCTCCTCCTCCTTCTCCTTCCGTCGTTCAATTTATGTGTGCCTTCTTCTTCATCTTCTTCCTCCTCCTCACCCATCACAACCACTTCCACCACCACCTCCCCTCCACCTCCCCCACCTCCTCCTCCTCCTCCTCCTCCTCCTCTCCTCCTCCTCCTTCCTCCTCCCTCCCCTCCTCCTCCTCCCCTCCTTCTCCTCCTCCCCTCATCCTCCTCCTCCTCCTCCTCCTCCTCCTCCTCCTCCTCCTCCATCCATCTGTCCTGCTTCATCCTCCTCCTCCTCCCCCTCATTCTCCTGCCCTTCCTCCTTCTCCTGCTCCTCCTCCTCATTCGCCTCCTCCTGCTTCTCCTCCTCCTCCTCCTCCTCCTCCGCCCTCCACCTCCCTCCCTCCTCCTCCTCCTCCTCCTCCTCCTCCTTTCTCCTCTTCCTCCTCCTCCTCCTCCTCCTTCTCTCCTCCCTCCTCTCCTCCTCCTCCTCCTCCTCCTTCCTCCTCCTCCTCCAACTTCTCTCCTCCCTTTCCTTCTCCTCCTCCTCCTCCCTCCTCCTCCTCCTCCTCCTCCTCCTCCTCCTCCTCCTCCTCCTCCGCCTCCTCCTCCTCTTCCTCCGCCTCCGCCTCATCCTCCTCCCTTTCTCCTCCTCCTCCTCCTCCTTCCCTCCTCCTCCTCCTCCTCCTCCTCCTTCTCCTTATGTGTCTTAGTCTTTGTTTTCGTATGTTGTTTCCTCTTCTCCCTCCTCCTCCTCATCATCATCCATCACCACCACTTCCACCGCCACCTCCACCTCCACCTCCTCCTCCTTCTCTTCCGCCTCATTCTCCCCCTCATCATCCATCACCACCACTTCCACCACCACGTCCACCTCCACCTCCTCCTCCTCCTCCTCCCTCCTCCTCCTCCTCCCCCCTCCTCCTCATCCTCCCCTCCTCCCTCTCCCTCTCCCTCTCTTCCTCTCACCCTCCCTCCCTCCTCCTGCTCATCCCTCTCTTCTCCTCACTGTCCGTCCCTGCGTTCGCATTGGAAGAAGGAGCGGCACATTCATAATCTCTTAGAGGTATGCGCAATTTTTTTGGATCGGGACTGGCCTTCATCCTCGGGGGTGGATCGCGTTCGGGTGTGGGCAGAGCTGGCCGGCCGCAGCCTTCGCTGCTCCTTCGTACGATCCGCGCCGTGCCAGCCAGCTCGCCGGCCGGGGCGGGAACCAGCTTCAGCACAGAGCGAATGTGCGAGAAACAACTTCCCGGCGACGCGCTGCCAAGGCGGGCCGTCGAGCGGAGCGGCATGGGGGAAGTGCTCGTTGGAACAACTCGGAGTGTGGTCCACTCACTCCGTATCCCTCCCTCCCTCCTTCCCCTCCCCCCTCTCCTCCTCCTCCTCCTCCTCCTCCTCCTCCTCCTCCTCCACCTCCTCCTCCACCTCGTCCTCCTCCTCCTTCTCCTCCTCCTCCTCCCCCTCCTTCTCCTCAGCCTCCTCCTCCTCCTCCTCCTCCTCCTCCTCTTTCTGCTCGTCCTCCAACTCCTCCTCCTCATCCTCCTTCTCCTCCTCCAACACCACCCATCTCCTCCTCTCTGCTGTCTCCTCCTCCCTGTCCTATTCCCAGAGCTTCATCGCCGTCGCCGTGGGGCTGTCCTGATCCGCCAGAATGAACTGGCCACCCGCTTGATTCGTTGGCTGTTTAACTGGCTAGCTGACTGACTGGCCGTGTAGTTAATCGATAGGTGGATGCGTATACCGACCATTGAACAACGGAGCGAGCAACTGCATGAAACTACATGTTCGGAGATCCGCGCGGCCTCCGAGAATTGTATGGCGCTAGATGTCCTGTGCGAATCGTGGGTCGCTGTCAACATCAGCTCCACGTGTATCAACGGCCTGCCTGGATTCGGGCGAGACCGCCGACGCCTCTCGCAAGGTGCCAGGGGACGCGATAAGCAGCAGGCAGGTGGTGAGAACCTGTATGAATTTCCTCTGCGAGCCCGCCGCCGGACCCCTCCTCATCCGCCCCTCCTCTGCCCCTCATCCTCCCTATCTGCCCTAACTATGTGCTCCTACTCCTGATCCCTCCGCCTCGGCACTGCTCCCTCGTCCCTACTCCTGCCCTCCCGTCCCACTCGCCACTCACCACCGTGCACCGAGGCTCTCCCTTTCTCCTCCTCGCCCTCGCTCGTCCCCGTCGCCCGTCGCCCGTCGCCCGTCGCTCGTCGCTCGCCGCTCGTCGCTCCTCCTCCCCCCCCTCCCCCCCCCCTCCTCCTCCGCCTGCTCCTCCTCCTCCTGCTCCTCCTCCCCGCTCCTCCCCCGCCCCCGCTCCTCGCTCCTCGCCCTTCATACTGCCCGCCCCGCGGCGAGCGACCACCGCCCGTGCCCAGCCGCCGGAGAGCCTCTCGCTGGAGGAGAGAGGAGGAGGAGGATGAGGAGGAGGAGGAGGAGGAGGAGGAGGAGGAGGAGGGGGAGCAGGAGGGAGGAGGAGGAGGAGGAGGAGGAGGAGGAGGAGGGGGAGCAGGAGGAGGAGAGGAGGAGGAGGAGGAGGAGGAGGAGGAGGAGGAGAGGAGGAGGAGGAGGAGGAGGAGGAGGGAGGAGGAGGAGGAGGAGGAGGAGGAGGAGGAGGAGGAGGAGGAGGAGGAGGGGGCCTCCTGCGCTCGGGGCCCCCCCTCGGCTCGACCCCCTGGGACCGAAGGGGGCGGCAGGGTGCCGCCCGTCGCGCTGCTCCGGGCACGCAGCCGCCCGGCGGCGGTCGAGGGGGGGGGGGGGGGAAGCGATACTCCAGATCTCGTAATAAAAGGGAGGGGGTCTGGACCCTCCAAGACAAGCCATTTCAGACCCCAACCTCCCTGGGAGAACCCTCCAAGACATCGTCCCCAGACCCCCCCAGGCCCTCCAAGATAGCCTGGAAGAGACCCCGCCCGAAATGAGACGCCCCTCCCTTTATTACGAAACCTGGAGTAAGGAGAAGGGCACTCTCAGAAGGCGGCGGGGCTCCTCAGAAGCAGGAGGAAGGCCCTCTCCGAAGGAGAAGGCCCTCTCAGAAGGCAGCGGCGAGAAGGAGGAGGCCCTCTCAGAAGGAGAAGGCCATCTCAGAAGGCGGCGGCGGCGACCGAGGGGGGGAAGCGAGAAGGAGAAGGCCCTCTCAGAAGGCGGCGGGTCAGAGTGTGGGTCGGTGGGTTGGCAGGACTGGGTGCAGTGTGACCTGGTTTGGTGACAGTCACGGGGGACGCCCCCCGCCCCAGTCCATTGACCGGAACTACCGCCACCCGAAAAACACCAGCTACGGCAGACCAGGTTCAGTGATTCCGATGAATATTTGGGATCTCGGGGCCCGATCCCTAACCGGCTCACCTCAACCAGGGTCCTGGCTGCACCCGATTCGGGGAAGGCGTAGAGAACTTTCCAAAAAGGCAGGGGAACTTCCGAGCTTTCTGAGAAGGCCCGCCTAACCAGCCTCGAACGTATCCCTATCCCTAAGGCGGTCGAGCAAAAAGCGAGGACAATCTTAGGGTTAGGCCCTCAGAAGCTGAGGGAACCCTTCAGATCGGCATCGAGGTGAGGTGATGTCAAACATAGCGATAAGGATATGCTTCAAACTGATCACCGCCTCTCCTTCCCAGGCTCGCCGCCGCTCTCCTGAAAGGGGGAGCGGCGCCGGAGCCGGCACGGCAACTGCCGAGAGGAGCCAGCCCACGGAGCCCAGCCCCTCCCCATCGCTCGGACGTCCATTCCCTGTGTTTTTGTTCGGTCTCGTGCGTGTTTTTTTCGCCAAAGGATCAAGGATGCTCCTCGATGGTCCTCGCCGACGGAAAAGTGCACACGCCCGAGCGATGCCAAGACTGCCGAGAGGAACCAGCCCAGGGAGCCCAGCCCAGGGACGTCCGACGACCAGACTCGGCCCGAGCCGCTGGGCCCCCCAGTCCTGGAACGTGGGCGGCACGCAGCATCGCCCCCCGGGTGGCAGTGAAGACACCGGGCTCCAGGACTGTTCGCGGTGGCCGCCGTCGTCGCTGCTGTTCTTCATGCAGTCTTATCCACACTTTTTTGAAGGGGCCCCAGGACACACAAATAAATATACACAAATACACCGATTCCCCATATTTTCCCATATTGTCTGGGTTTTTGTCTTCCCCCCTACTTCGTATATGTTCGCATATTCTCCGGGAATCGACGATGAATTGTGTCTGTGTGTTTTTCCCTTCCTTATTGTTTTCTCCAGCCGCTGGAAAATATACGTTTCTTTATCATCCCTCTGCGTTCATCTCTCAGTCTTGGCTGGCCCCCCCCCCGACAAGTACCCATCGGTCGGAAGAAGTAGGTAGAAACATGAAGTAGGAAGGCGCTGGAAATAGATCGGGTTTCCGCCCGCCTCCTGAAGAGGAGGGAAGAGGGAAACCCACTCGACTCTTGAAGTAGGAAGGCGCTGAAAGTAGATTGGAATCTGGGAATCCAAAAATACTTACTTCCAACGACCGATGGGTAGTTGAAGGCCACGGGAGCCGAGGCGCGCCCCCCCGGAAGCCCAGGCCGGGGACCTGGCGCTCTGCCCCTGCGCGGGCCCCCGGAGGTCTGGACCACTTGGCGGCGCGCACAAGGGGTGCTGCGCCGGCGGCCGGTGCCCGTGCCCCTGGGGCCTGGCCGCGGACGGCGGAGGCGTGCAGCTGAGCGCCGCGGCTGCTGCCCGCCTGCGCGCTGCTAGTGCTGGTGCTGGACCCGCCTCGACCGCCGCCGCCGCCGCCGCCGCCGCCCCCGCGGCCGCCGCGGCTGGCATCGCAGGGCCGCTGCTACTGCCGTCGCCGCGGCTGCCGCTGCCGCTGCCGCTGCTGGCTCCCTGGCGGCGGCGGACGACATGCTGGCCGGCGTCGCGTCGGCCTCTGGATCGCCGCCAGCGGGCTCAGTAGACGCTGGGCTTGAAATTGGGGCCCACCATCATCTGTTCCAACGCCCCGATCAGCGCTCGCAAGAAAGACAGGCAGGGGTAGTCGCAGCCATCCCTGGCGCTGCTTTGCGAAGTGATGGGATTCGCAACGGCACCTCTTTCAGCGCGTGCGAGACGAACGTGCGCAGCGAGATGCTGGCTGTGAAGGTGGAGTCCACCATCATCTGCCATAGCGCCCCGATCAGCGCGTGCAAGAAGGATTGGCAGGGGCAGTGGGTGGCAGATGGCGCCGGGGCCGTTCCGAGAGACGGTGGGAGTGAAGCTGGCGCCCATCATTCTCTGCTCAAGCACCCCGATCAGCGCGTGCGAGAAGGACGGGCAGCGGCAGGAAATCTTCTCAGAATGAGGCTCGGGTCGGGCGAAAGGGGGGGAAAGCAAAGGGGGGGGGTGAGAATCAGCTCACGTAGCTGATTTTCCCGGCGCCTCCCGGCGTCCGAGGCGGCTATGTATCGAGGAATGGGCCCCTTGGTGAGGCCGAAACCAGCTGACATGCAGCAAATTTCGTAACCCCCCCTTTCCCAATCCCCCCTTTCGCCCGACCCGAGAGGCTGCTTCTCAGAAGGCGCTGGCCTTATATCTGCAGAGGAGGCCCGCGCCTCCTCAGAAGCAGAAGTGCTTCTGCGAAGCCCGCCCCCCTCCCCCCACATCCCCCACATCCCCCCACATCCCCCCCCCTTTCAGGGCCAGTTCTTTCGTCCTGAGTCGTTCTCCGAAAGCGGCCAAAACGACGGCCGCTCCGATTGCTTCGGAGCCTTGGCTCTCTGGGGAGGGGCTTGCCGCCCCGAGCAGTGTCCGTCAAGCTGGAGGTCAGCGGCACGAGCTGCCCAGGCCCTTGCCCAGAGGGGCGCCGCCACTCGAGCCGGAGTTGTCGCCGGGCCGGCTCCTCCCGAAGACTGAGGCTCGGGGAGCGAAGCTCGGGAGGACTCTGTACGATTTGGAAGCGCTGCTGGGTGTACGAGACGTGAAAACGACCACAGCCACTGCTTCTCTATTGTTACAGCCGTCCAGCCAGCAGAAACAAAGCCGTGGTTGTGGTCATTTTCGTTAAGCTCGGCACCAGGGAAATGACCACAACCACTGCTTCTTTTTCCGCAGGCTGGAAGGCGGCGCAAACAAGAAGCAGTGGCTGTGGTCATTTTCCCGTCCCGCATGGGTGGCATGTCGGGTAGAAAGGCCCCCAGTTGGTCTTGACCGTTTGTAAATATGTCGAATGACTTTAATTACGGGCTTGGGGGGTTGAAAAGGCATGTCGGGTATTTTGAACAGAGTTTGAGGATGTCCTCCCTGAAAGTCTCTCAACATCTCACGCACCAAGGATGAAGGAGGAGGAGGAGGCGGAGAAGGACAGCAGAGGAGAGAACACACAGGCCTAGCGATACGATCGGCGACCACCTGCGAACCCCAGCCTTGCATGTATGGCCGACGCTGGGGGATCGGACACCCCCGCTGCGTACACCTGTCTGCAGACCTCCTTCGAATTCTAAGCCCCAGCTGGCGCCCAAGAGAACTGACCAGTAGGATTCCAGTTCACATGCGGTTGCCCATGAGTCCCCATGGTCTTCCAGACATGCGATGTGTTGATTTGTTCCACACGCGGTCCCGTGGAAGCCCAACACGTTGTTTCGAGGCGCAGCAGCAGCTCGTATATTAGCCGAAGACTGCCAACAACCGTTCGCTGGAACTTGATCTTCACGACGCGAGCATGCCTCGGATGGGCTCGCGGCCTCTCCTCGGTCCAGATTCGAGCGCCGCCGCAGCCTCGGCTGGGGCCGGCTCCGTCGTGGGTGCACGCCCCGCTTCATGTCTTAAGACGGAGCCAAGGCAGGGACAAGCTCGGACAGGGGTGAATCTCTGAGATCCGGCGATGCTGGAGGATGTGTCGGGCGCCTCGGCCTTCTCAGAGCTTTCGGGAACGTTGGGAGAACGCCCTGGAACGAGAGCAACAAAACGGCACAGATATAACATTTCAGAGGTCCGCGCGGTTTTCCTGGATCGGCGCTGGGCCCCCACCCTGGCGCGCGGAGACCTCCTTAAATTCATGCTTATGCCGTTAATCATTCTTCGGGGAACGCTCTGGAACGATTTATCCACGTCCTGGCCCCGCCCGATGCCTTCACCACGCGGCTGCGGCCGCGAGCACGGCGCAGGCTGGATTTGCCGGGCAGCAGGGTTCACCTCGGGCGCGGGGCAGAGAGGGAGAGATTATATGGCAACTCATGGGAGGCTCCCCTGTCATCTTACAGGCTCTTGCGGATCGATGCTGCGAATTGACATTAATTCTAACCTTTTCGACGCTGATTGGGCGCCTTCTCATCCATTACCAGACGCTAGAGCACGCTAGTGCGCTGTAAAGGCTGAACTTCGAGGACACACACGGCTTCCAGGATTTGCTACCCAAGGGCGGAGGGAGGATGAGGCGGTGACGACGAACCTCGGCAGACACACGTTTCAAGACAGCAGTGCATCGGGAAATGCTTCCTCGAGTGCGGTGCGTGCGCATCCAGGGGGAGCTCGAGTGGTCCTCTGCGCCCAAATCGACAAATCCATGTGGCCAGGCGTCGCTCACACCTGCGTGAAGGCCTAGGACCCTATGATGCGCCGAACACGCAAAACACTCTGGGGCCCAAGGCCCATGCCAGAGAAAGCACACCCACAGTCCGCCAGCACAGACAACATGACAAGGATTTCAGTGGTCCCTCTGAAGCCCCTGGGGAGGGAAAACAGATAGAGGGGAGGAGGGCAGAGAAGGGCGATTGAGAACAGACTGAAACCACGAGGTCATCCGCGACGTAACTGCTGAGCTAGACCACGGCGCAAGCACCCTTTCCACGGTAGCCTTAGTTCTCGAGTTAATTCGCCACCGCGCTGGCCGATACGTCAGCCGATGAAGGATTTGAAATCATGTGTTTCAACGCTCGTGGAAACGTCGCGAGCCAGCCTAATAATGACTTCGCTCGCGAATTAATTCGCCGCGGCGCTGGGTGTTTTTCCAGCCAGGACGCAGCGAGACCCCTCACCCAGCTGCTCAGTAGCAGAGATGACACGGCGAGTTGGCCTCCTCTGGGTTCATCGTGAAGACCGCCTCAGAGTAAGAACCCAGTGGCGAGAGAATCTGCGGCTAACGCCCAAAAGGTACCACCACGCTGAAAGGGAACTCGAACTGTACAGCCCGCAGCCCGTCCATTGTGCGGATGGCATGTGAAGCAAGGGCTCCCAACTTCGAAGTGCGAACAACATCGCGCTCTCGCGCCGCCTCCCAAGGGAGAAGAGGAGGATGAGGAGGAATCGGAGAGGATGAGGAGGAATCGGAGCCGAACCGCGAAGCGCGAAGAACTTCGCGCCCTCGAGGGCACCCGTGTTGAAGACTCGTGGTCTGCCCCATGCTGGAAACAGCACGCACGAGGTGCGCCTGGACCCACTCGCCCTACAACCCTCGTCGAAGTTGAACGCAAGTTTTTTCCACCCCCGTCGCCCCCAAATTTCAATGTTCATCGACAGGCGCATCGCGGCCGGCGGGGCCCGAAGAAAATCTTGAAGTCGCCAGCGTCGGCGTGAACGTTGAAATTGGGGGTCGGGGGGCGCCGCCAGGTCGCGGCTAAAACTTGCGTTCAATTTCGACGAGGGATGTAGCATCCTGACCTCGATGTGCCCCCCCCCATGAGAGCGTCGGCCACGTCTTGCATTCTCGGCCTGCGCGAGCACCGAGGTGCCCCGCCCACGGCCTGCGCGCGCACACGAGAGTACCGAGGCCGCACGCTGGCTTGAGCTATCCTCGGCGGCAGCAGCAATGTGTACGTTCGTTCCCCGCTCACGTTCACCACGGAGGCGGTGCTGAACGGCACCGCGGAAGGAAGAAACTGCGTACGTACATGGAGGTGGGGCGTTCAGGATGCGGGTTCTGGAGCAGAGAGAAAGCAGACCCAGGTACCCACGAAGGTCTCCGACATCGGCGACCTGGCGGGCACAGAATTGGTGATCTTCCTGCCTGCGGCCTTGGAGGGTACGCGATCCGCCACCACTTCCGGAACAACGAGGGCAAGCTCCTCGTGTTCTACAGAGCTCCAGGTGAATACATTCTCAAACGATCTAGCATGCCACGATGCCCGCTACATGCTCGAGTTGAAGAAAAAACACCTACGTCCTGCCGCGCCAGAGTGGCACGTGTACCTCACTACTGCGCCGCGGCCGGAGACCTCCAGCGCGCCCATCTACCACGAGGCAGCCGACGAAATCACCGAGGAACCGACGGACACCTCGAGTGGGCCGCACCACGCGAACATCACAGATGTACTACAGAAGACGCCGTTCGATACCAAGTACGACCATGAGACCAAGTGCCTGGACCAGATTGTGATCAACGGCCCTGTCCAACGGCAAGCGCAAGTACTCCGCCGGCAATCTACGACGCCTAGCAGGCCGTCGGCAACCACTTCTGCTTGAGGGCTCCCTTTCCCGACTGTGAGTCCGTACCCGAGGGTGACCACTTGGAGGATACAATCCCGTTGCGCAGCTTCTACCACGTCAAACTCCTGGACACTATGCTCGAACAAATCCTCAATGAGAATTTCCCCAGCCCAACGGGCCAGAGGCGTGCTAAGATCTCCGGCTCCTGGTCCGACCCAGAGGCTTTCAAGAGCCCCTAGAGGGCACCAAGAATTCCCAAGGCGGTCCACGAGGGCTCCGAGTCGCCGACCGATCGGTCCAAGACGCCCAAGATAGCCTCCAGACGGCCGCAGACGCCCCCAAGACGCCCAAAGAGGCCTCGAAGAAGCGTCCCAAGAGGGCCCCAGGAGGCAGAAACCATAGATTTCCCATCTCGGTGTTTCAAAGATTTTGGCGTTCTCCTCTGTTCGGCTTCCCAACGCTCAAAGGCGGCCCAAGCGGCCCCAAATACCGCCCCAAGGCAGCCCAAGAGGCCCTCAAGAGAGCCCCAAGAGGGGCCCAAGAGGGGAGCATGAACCACAAAGCCGAGCCTTCCGCCGCAAGAGGCCCTCAGGAGGCCCCAAGAGGATTCCAAGCGAGCTCCGGAGGCCCCCCGGAGGCCCCATGAGTCCCCAAAAAGAGGCCCCACAGAGAGGCGCCAAGAGGCCCCCGAACGGCCGCCACGAGGCTCCAGGAGGCCACGAACGCGCAGGCAAGCGCCTGCGATGGCACAGTGCGGGCCGGCGGAGCGAGCGGAGCGATGCGCCGCCCCACCGGGCACGGCGTGCGGCATCCCCGCCGCACGGTCTGCAAGAACTCTTTCCTCTTACTCCCCTCGCACACGTCATCCTCGTACAGGGCAATTTTTAATACCTGGGATTGCTTAAAAATACGGGATTGCTAATACATGGCTAACGTATGCATAAATTCATGCATGAACTCATCGCTGCTTTTAGTACTAAATCC